CGACTTCGCCAATGGTTATTTTAGCATTTTCACTTCGCATAGTTCATGTTTTTGTCTCTACAAAGGTTACAACAGACATTTTGCCTGCGTCTTCTTGCCACCTTTGGTAAATCTTCCAATTAGCCGCATCAGTTCCTGGTCTTGGCATGATGTCACTTTGAGTATTGAGATGACTCTCCGAATAGACTGTAGATGTGTAAATGGAGCGCGTTTATCAAACTACATCTAGTCTTGTGTAGCCTGACTTTGGACAATGTACAATAACTGTCTACACAAATCACATATAAAAACTATCAGCCATCCTTTGTTTTTTATATGTAACAATCAGATTAAAACTTGCCATTTCAGACAATAAACAAGTGCACATGCACACACACAATGGGTTGCCATGTTTTATGGGGACTTTCCATATAGACATACTGATTTTTACACTGTACTCTATATTCTTTCCCCTTACACTAACCCTACCCCTATTTCAAAAAAAAAAAAAAAAAAAATCACTTAATATGATTTATAAGCTGTTTTCCGGGGACCATAATGTAGCGTTTACCTGAACCCCCCACACATACATAAATATAAACATTTCATTACTAATTTCATTTATAATAAGAAAGACACACATCCAAACACACAAGACCCACCGGCCAACACAAAAGCCGCTGTTACTCCACCATTTCACGGGCCATTTCTCTGATGTAAATAATCAATCACTCCTGACACTTGCGTATGAGGTCCTTTATTACACCTGATAATCACAGCAGGCAGAGTCTACAACAACATCAATGAAGCGCACCTACAGCCGTGTCCCTCTCAGGTCCTCTGAGAGCCGTAAACACAGGACATGTGATCACTGTCACGATAAAAAAACAACGTCACAGGGCTGGGTCTTTCTGATTGGGCAACAGATCGATGCTGACTGCAAGCGTAAGAGCATAAGAGCTGTGTTGTACAGTATTTGCATGCTAAACAACAACAGTAAAACTTCATTAAAAAGACATGAACTTATGTAGATGCTTAAGCACAAAAGCCACTGAAAAAGAAAAAGCTAATAAAAACAAGCTTTATTGCTTCGGTTCTCTGCACTGCATTTGCGCAAGACAACAAACTCAGTTGTCTTGCATGTCAAAATGACTCCACTTCCAGAGAAACGGATGATGTTATGCATACAGTGCACACGCACACACACACACACACAGCTTCACACTGCTTTGTTATGCTTGCATTGATTTTTTACCCCATTGCATCAAATACAAAGCTAGTTTCCTTAATACAATCAGAATACGAATGACAAGAGAAGTATAAGTGAATATTGACACTTTCAGCTATGCAAGTTCAATTTTACACATCATGATCTGAAATGTCAGAAAGCAATTCATAGTGCAATGCAAATAAAAGATGCATCCTTAAGGGGCCACAAGGGGTGCTATAACAGACATTGGCATAAACTGTCTTCTACCATCGGTTTTCTCTTTCAGGTCAACTACTGTCATCGCAGCACAACAATATGAAAAACATGACCAGATTAGTCATTTAAACTCTCAACATGTACCTGAATCTATAAGAGAATTCAACCAGGCGCTCAGGTGAAGTATATCCGTGATAGGTGCTCTTGGGATAGGGAAAGGGTCCAATGAAATAAGATGCAGGTCCCAGGCACTCAAAAAATGGATAAGAAGGAGAAGGTTAAAAAGCCTTTATTGAATACGGCTTATTTCATAATAAAAAAGTCACAAGCCAAAATGTACCTGAATCTTCAGGTTATCTGCCTATCCAGCCTGCCTTAAACCAGAAAACAGAAAATTACATTACCATTCTTCGGAACAGTAAGTCATTGGTTTTGACCACTTCTAGACCAGTTTAACAAGCATTTCAATCAAAAGTCCCTATTAGCTATAGATAAAAACTAATTTAACATGTGGTTTTATTTTCTGTGGCCTAGTAATGCAGCTTTGCCCAAAAAAATGCAATACTGACAGCAAAACGTTCATTTAACACTCATGTGCTGTTCTTTTCAATGCATTGATCGCAGGGTCCAGAATGAACACTTGCCAAGCGGAAAACACAAGTAAAAAGTGGCCTTGGCAAATACATTAAACAGCTACTCGACTGTTGGCAACATTGTATACGGCTTAAACTGAACTGTAAGAATGATAGACTGATCCTCACTTGTGTAACTGACGTGCCAATTAAACACAAGACATGCAAACCATGCTGAAGAAAATAGAATAAACTGATCAAAGGTGACAGTAAAGACATTTGTAATTTTACAAAAGATTTCTATTTCAAATAAATGCTGTTCTTTTGAACTTTATTTTAATCAAAGAGCCCTGAAAAAAATATACATGCCTTCCACAAAAATATGAAGCAGCACAACTGTTTTCAACATTGATCATAATCAGCAAATCATCATATTAGAATGATTTCTGAAGGATCATGTGACACTGAAGACTGGAGTAATGATGCTGAAAATTCAGCTTTGATCGCAGGAATAAATTACATTTTACAATAAATTCACATGGTTATTTTAAATAGTAATAATATTTCAAAATATTACTGTTTTTTCTGTATTTATGATCAAATGCTGGTGAACATAAAAGACTTTTGTTTTAAACGCCATTGTCAATATAAAAAAAAAAAAAAAAAAAGGACAATAAAGTCATGCTGGTAGAAATATGTATATGGCTAGTAAATTTCTCAATCCACATGGCATTGGCAGGTGTGGAAAAGGTTGATTTTGGATCCTGATTGCACTGTTTGAGCTTCATCCCGCATCACAGCCAAAGGATAAATCCCTGTTGACATCGCACGTATAAAGTGTTTCATTAAAAGCGCCTGCTGTCTAATGGCTGTGTGTCGGAGAGACACACACGGGGTCATCCGCCTGCGGCTGCGCGAGCTCAGATCCGTGGACACGTTCGACTGAATCTGCCCATGACCCGCCGCGCTTCCTCTAATTGAGATGAACGGCAATGTTTGTTTTAAATGCTGATTTATTCCTGCAAGCCCTTCGCTGAGCTGAGCGACACCCACCGCGCGCTCTTTAGATTTGCCACAACACCCAAAAACGCAATCAATCAAAACCCCCCACCGCTACAACGGGCTTTTAATTAGGTCCCGTCCAACCGGGGGCCCTCGCCCGTCAAATACCTGCAGAGAGAACCAGTCACAGCTGGAACATCTGGGGGAGAAAAGTGCCCTAAAATATGTGTTAAATCAGGCAGCTGTGGGACCCTGGGATCAATCGCTGACTGCTTTTTGCTTACAGTTTAGCTAGAGAAAGAGAATCTATCCGCGGTTGTGTCTCTCGAGCATAAACCAGCAGTGAAAAACACCCTGGAGGCCAGTTAAAACTGTGAAAATGGCTGTCTTTGACTGTGAGATTGAGGGAATATATAATGAAGGGTTGAAGGGATGGTCATAGTCATTATTCACTCACCTTAATGTTGTTGCAAACATGTATGTTGTTGTTTCTTCCTTGGAAAACAAAGGGAGAATCGTTGAAGAACGGATTTTTCCAAGCAGACGGAAATTTAAGTTCTTCAATAAAAAATCGGCAAAATCGGATTTATTTTTAAGTCAATTACATGTAAAAAAATATGGCTAATAGCTGTGGAACAAGCAATAATCAGTTATTTCAAATGTATGAGACTGAAACTAATTGGATTTATTGATGATAAACCTGGTTATTGTAAACCCTATTCATATTTCATGTATGACTGTCAAATATGCATCACATTAAGTGTGTTATTTTATATTTAAATGGTGTAATCCAAATGCATGGAAATATTATATGTATAATTGAAATACTAAAGCTTAAATTTAGGCCTAAATATTTTTTGAGTGTATATACTTGCTGTTTTGTTATTTTTGGAGCTTCTTTTGTTGGGTGAGAATGACAGAATGATGACAGTCTTTTCATATTTGGGTGAATGAATCCTTTTAAGAATATTCACAGGTGATTCGGATCTTGTCATCCACTGAATCTCTGCTTTGCCTTTTAGTTTCATACCATGACAACCAAATATCAGTATCTCTTACAGTAACAGTATCAACAAAATAAGTTGATTAGTGTGTCATGAAAGGAACTGTCTGTTTACTGTGATACCATGACAACAGTCTCTCTCAGTAACTATACTTAGACAATTAACTGAAAGGGTTAACGGACACACTGCAGACAAACACAGCCAGACATTATATGTACAACATAACTTCAAATTTGAACTATACCTGGTTTTCATTCAGTAAACATATTTTATATGAATGAAAGACCCTTAGAAACCAAGCTAAGTCATTTTAAGCGTCAGCTCAGGTAGAAACAACTGCTCATATGACACATCTCGAATGAATGTGTACAAATTATGATGCAGATCAATTAAAATGCATTAAGGACGTTCAAGCAATTGTGTATTAGACTTAACAGTGAAAAAAGAGACTAAACATCAGTGATGCTTCAGAAATATCTGTGGTACCTTATTAAAAAAACTGACCATTTACATTTCTACCATGACAACAAACATCTCAGCATCTCTTACAGTAACTACACAGACATCAAAGGGTTAACCGTTATGCATTTCAAACTATACACACAAATCTTACAGTGTATTAACAGTTCTATATGCTGTGCTATGATATTAGAGATGTGCACCTGTCATGCAAATAAAGTCAATTAATGGAATTAAACAACTTTGACGAACAAACAGCCTCGTCAAAGATGTCATTGAAGATACCCAAGCAAATGTTGCATTCATGTGAATACAAAAAAAAATGCCTACTAAAAAAAACAACTTTAGCACCGGGAGAAACAAACAGACTGAATTGAACCCCAGATTTGGCCCCTGGCACACAGACAACTGCAAAATGCGTCAGCAGACCCGATGCAGCAGAAATTTACATGCATGTTTGTTTGACAGCAGCATGAAGCTCTTCCCTGTTCCTACATGCATGTGTCATTTATTTCGGCGCACGTTTAGCATGTCAGTGTTGATGTCAGGTTCACTCACCGCACAGATCGAGGCAAAAATCCGCGTTGATCCTCTCCGTCCTTGTTCGTTTTCTCACGGAAGGGCCCCCGGTAAGACTCTCCGCCGTTTCCCTCCGGTAACACGGTACATCCTCTAGAGAAGCTGAGCAGAGAATCCGCTACTGTCTGTCCGCTCCTGATGATGAAGATGAGGATGATGACAAACGGCGAGCGCACATCACATCACTGAACGAGGAAGACGGGTTTCATGACGAGCTCTGCTGCTGATGATGAGGATGATGATGCGGGAGAAGGACGCGACCGGATCCCAAAGCAACCACTGGATGAATGTGAACATGAAGACTGAAGAGCTGCACCACACGGTAAACACGGGGGTGTTGCAATGACTGGACATCCCATAGGAAAGAAAAAATAGCAATGAGATCTCTGTAACCGCTCAGAGATTCTCCTGGACAGCAGTGAGATTAATAAATCGCTTTCCTGCTTTTTAGAAATGTTCTCATGTTTCTCCCCTATGGATCTCAGCAATGTCTCAAACTATGTGCATTGAAAATCTCCATTGAAAAGTCAGATTCTTCGATATGAGATCAAATATGTCTCATCTAATTCTTCTGAGAACCAAATAAATCATGTAGAAACAACACAAATGAGATCTATTTAATATACAGTATCAATTGATAAAAAGCAGTGATAAAATATAGAGCAATTACAGTCTCCTGCTTCTCAGATGTCTCTCATATTTCTCCTAGAGATCTCAACAATATATCAAACTTGCATTGAAAAGTCAGATTCTTCGATATGAGCTCAAATGTGTCTCATCTAATTCTTCTGTGACCCATATAACCCAAGTGGAAACGACACAAGAGAGATCTCTTTAACATATCAATCAACTGATAGACAGCAGTGAGATTAAATACAGAGCATTTACAGTCTCCCTCTTCTCAGATGCTTCTACTAAAACAAAACCTCCGTGTAATACCTTCTCCTCTAGAGATCTCAACAATTGTTCTCAAAATACCCTAGTGATCTCGTGTTTCTCCTCTAGAGATCTCAACAATTGTTCTCAAAATACCCTAGTGATCTCGTGTTTCTCCTCTAGAGATCTCAACCATGTCCCAATTGTTCTCAAATTTGCATTGCATTGAAAATCTGGTGAGATTCATCAATACGAACTAAAACATTTCTCATCTAATTGTTCTGAGACCAAAGCATGCAGAAAAATCCCAAATAAGATCTCTTTAACATCCAAGTCGATTCTCAGACAGCAGTGATATTAAATATAGAGCAATTACAGTCTCCTGCTTCTCAGATGTCTCTCGTGTTTCTCCTAGAGATCTCAACAGTGTCTCAAACTTGCATTGACACTGCATTGAAAAGTCAGATTCTTCAATATGAGCTCAAATGTGTCTCCTCTAATTCTTCTGGGACCCAAATAACCCAAGTAGAAACAACACATATCAGATCTCTGTAACATCTCAGTTGATTCTCAGACAGCGGTGAGATTAAAGATAGAGCAATCACAGTGTTCAGCTTCTCAGATTCTTCTACTAAAAGAAAAGACCTCAGTGATCTCATGTTTGTCCTCTAGAGATCTCAACAATTGTTCTCAAATTTGCATTGCGTTGAAAAGTCCGATTTTTCAATGTGAACTCAAATATCACCGATAAGATCTCTTTAACACCTCAATCGAATCTCCTATAGCAATGAGATTATAGCTTCTGCTTCTCAGATGTCTCTCATATTTCTCCTAGAGATCTCAACAATATCTCAAACTTGCATTGAAAATCTGCATTGAAAAGTCAGATTATTCGAGATGAGCTCATGTCTCGTCTATCTTCGGTCATGTCTCGTCTATCTAGAACCGAATAACCCAAGTGGAAAAAACACAAGAGAGATCTCTTTAACATATCAACTGATAGACAGCAGTGAGATTAAATACAGAGAAATTACAGTCTCCTGTTTCTCAGATTCTTCTACTAAAATAAGAGACCCCAGTGATCTCATGTTTCTCCTATAGAGATCTTAACAATGTCTCAAACTGTTCACATTTGCATGGCATTAAAAATATACTTTGAAAGGTGAGATTCATCAATGCAAACTCAAACATTTCACATCTAATTGTTCTGAGACCAATGCATGCTGAAAAATCACAAATAAGATCCCAAGTGGAAACAACACAAGAGAGATCTCTTGTAAAGTAAAGTAAAACAAAGTAAATCTCAGTGATCTCATGTTTTTCTACTAGAGATCTCAACAATGTTTCAAACTTGCATTGAAAATCTGCATTGAAAAGCCAGATTTGCCAGTATCTGCTCAAACATTTCTCTCATTTAATTCTTTTGAGACCAAATAACCCAAATATCTCATGAGAAAAAACACAAATGTGTTCTCTTTGACATCTCAATCAATTCTTCAGACAGCAATGAGATTCAACAGAGCAAATATGGTCTCCAGCTTCTCCGATTTTACTCTTAAATTAAGACCCCAGGGATCTCAACAACGTCTCAGATGTTTTCAATTTTGCATTCCATTGAACATCTGCATTGAAAAGTCAGTTTCATCCATATTACTTAAATATTTCTTATCTAATTCTTCTGAGACCAAATTACCTGAGTATCTCATAAGAAAATCACAAATGAGATCTCTTTAAAATCTCAACCGATTCTCTAAGACAGCAATAAGATTAAAGAAATAACAATTAGAGTCCTGTAGTCTCCTCTAAAGATCTCACAATATCCCAAAATGTTCAGATGTGCCAAAATACCAATGATTCTCAGATATTTCTCATCTAATTCTTAAAAATGACCAAATTACCTCTAAAGAGTATCTCTTTTTTTTTAAATCACAAATTACATCTCTTTAATATATCAATTGTCTCCAAGACAGCAATGAGATGAATTAGATGTACTGTAATCTTTTGTTAAAGTTAAGTTAAGTTTTTAAAGATACTAAATTATGCTAAACGTATAAAATGACCTTTATCATCAAAAAGGAAATTAACCAAATTCTTCCGAGACCAAACTCAGTTGCTTCTAAAGCTACACGATTCATATCATCAACATTCATTTTATTTTTTTTATTTTAGGAGAAACAAATGAGACAAAGGTTATACTTAAACGAAACTTAACTGAGAACCCAATGAATCTCATGAGCGATGAAAGAGCGGTCTCATTGACTTTCAGAAATGTCATTCCTTCACATTGATTGACTGATTGATTAATGGAAACATTTCCACAGCAGTCCATTACTTAAATAGTATGTCATATAAAATATGCAAATGCAACGGACGATCCTCAAAACACTGTTTTCCTATTAAGAGGTGTAGAAAAGTGAAGTGGAGTAGATGGAGATGTTGGTAATGTGGGTTTGGACTCATTCTGGTTATGGTCTGCTTGGAGTCTCGGCTCAAGGAGACAAACGTCCCTGGGCTCAGTGTTAAGGGCAGAACAGACGTGTGTGAACTGATGAACGAGTGATTGGCATGCGGCCGGTGTGTTTTAGCGCTGAATATAAGCTTGGATTACTCTTATGTTACCAAGAGCCCTTCATGTCCAGAGGCGCTTGTGCACTTGACGGGGTTTAATGTTTGGAGTGTGTTTCCAGTGACTCTCTATATGAGGACGCTGCATGTAAATGCACACATGGCTGTACGTACACTCAAGGGCAAACGCATACACGCGTTATTAAGCAGCGCTAAAGCCACTCTGACTTCTTGACCCCTCCTTCCTTAAGGATGAACTGTTTTATTCCCAGAAGACTGGAACGGACGTCATGTTTCTGCTGTCGCTGCTCTCATCAGCGCTGTAGGGGGTGAGCAGAAGGTTTCACACAAACACACACACACACACACACAGATGTAGATGTTTCCCGTTCGCACATCAAATGCTCGTCTGCACCTAAAGGGCAAATGAAAGGCAGGAACATTTGTAAATAACCGACGTCATGTGTTTTAAATGATGAAACTAGACACTGGAGTTTATAAGAGCAGGTTTCAGCTTCATAGTTGAAGGTCACTTCAGAAAACCACGAAATAAATAAGCTCATATTTTGCCCACCTTCTGTTCACTATAAAAGCGTTTGGATCAAAGCATCTGCTAAATTAATTTAAATGTGCAGTGACCCTAAAAAGTTTGGAAGCACTTTACAATAAACTTCCATAAGTTAACATTCAATGAGCATCACATTTGTTACAGTATTTATAAATCTTTGTTAACGTTACAGTGTTACGGTGTATTTATACATTTAAGTACTGAGTAATAATAATTAACTACATGCATTTTCTATAGGGTTAGGGTTAGGAGGTTTGGTTTAGGGTTAGTTGCATAGTTATGTATATTATAATTATTAGTAATTATTATTACTATACTATACGCAACGTGTAACAATAATACTAAAATAAAGTGTTACCAAAATGGCAAGTAACACTGAATTCAATGTGAAATATTGAAGTACAAGAACTTAAAAAAAAAGTATTTATTTGTAAAACCTACTACAATAATTTTTGATAAATATTTTTTTAAAGTGTACAACAGTTCGTTGTTAGTTCATGTCAGCTCAGGTCCATTAAATAATATTACCTACCATATTACTATAAAATAAGTTTCACGAATGGGCTACTTTCAGCTTTCAAACTTTAAAAGTAGTTCAAATGATCTAGATTGTAGATCTAGATGTTATTTAGGCCAACATCAAAAAGCTTGAAAGTCGAGTTTGACACGGATCTGAGCTCAAACCAGCAGGGACAAACAGTCAGATGCTGAGTCCATATGCCTCGCCTCGCATTCTCTCCTTCATCTCCTGAAGCCTTCATCTGGAAACCTGCTCTTGCGCGTAAAAATGAAGTATTTAAAACACTGGCTAAAATAATCAAGCATCCATCACAGAATAGCGTAACAGGTGCATCAACCAACCCCAACACCAACCTCAACCCAAACTAATTGAATGTTGATTCATTCCGATATGAGAAGTTTGACCTACCTCAGTTAGGGTAGATTAGTGTGATTAGATAGATTAGTTCGGGTAGATTAGTGTTAGATGATGCTGCACCTGTCGTACAGATCTGAGATCAGATTACTTCCGTTCTTGCTGATTGAAAAATGTGTTATGCAATGATAAAAAATCAGAATTAAGCTCTGTTGTTCAGAAATAGTTCAGTGCATTATCATTACAAACATTTCTTGATTATACACTCACTGGCCACTTTATTAGGTACACCGTGTTAGCACCAAATTTTTTCGGCCTTAATTCTCCATAGCTCAGATTCAACAAGCTGCTGGAAACATTCATCAGAGATTTTGGTCCGTATTGTCATGATAGCATCACAGTTGCAGATCCATGATGTGAATCTCCCGTTTCCCCACATCCCAAATCTGCTCTATTGGATTGAGTTCTGGAGACTGGAGGCCGTTTGAGTTTAGTCATGATCAAGAAACCAGTTTGAGATGAT